GACATTTAAGCAGAGGCACGTCCAGTGTCTCAGCTTCAGCCATGGTAGGGGATTTGGTAGTCTCCAAATGCCGCTTCCATGGCTGAAGCAGAGACACTTGGCCTGGGTCCTTAACTGAATCGAATGGAGAGCACAGGCCCAAATTTCAGGCGCCGCTAATCCAGTGGATGCAGCAGATCTAGTGGATCCAGTTGATCCAGGCAGTGATGACACCAAGGGCAGCGCCAAAAGTCAGCCCACACCAAAGTGCCAGAAGATCAAGGCTGGGGGCTGTCCACAAGGTAAGCTTGATTGTTCTGACTGGGGCATGTGTGGCCGCCAAATTACTGCTGCACAGTGGTCTTTTCAGCTGGTCAGCTCAGCTCTCCGACAGGAAGGCCTACTACACCATGTTTGATCTAGTGATCCCACTGCGCGCCTTCCACGATCCAGCGAAGGACACTAGGCACGCGGGAGTCCCCTCATTCAGGAGAAGTTGGCCAGGCATCCCAAGTTCAGTGTCATGCTGTGCCCTGGCTGGCACACGGCTTGCTGGTGCAGGTGTGATTAACTTGGGCTTGCCTCAAACTATAGTCCGGATGCTATCTGAGGAGAGGCTGGGTCCAGGGCCTCAAGTGGGTCAAGGATCTTCGACTCTGCCTTGCGTGCAGTGCTGGCAGACACCGGAGCGAATCATGATTTCCTGGCTGCTAAGAAGAAGCTTGGCATGATGTGGCAAAAGGCAAAGGTAGCTTCAGACCAGTACGTTGTTAAATCGTAAATGAGGAAGGGGCTGGCACTTGGCGTTTGCACACACACACACACTTCAGCCCCAGGCCAGCTCTATGAGGTGGAGTTGCGTCACCTGGCGCAGCAGTGGTGGACTGGGCGCAAGGGCTGCATGGTGCTGAACTTGTCAGCAGCTTTCTGGCTTGCATTAGACGCATGTCACGCATCACATACACTTCATACATGACGTCCATTGCACACCCTTGCCACCCTCCTGCCACACTGACCTGCTCTGTGAGGCGCCACAGCAGGCCTGCGCAGGAAGTGAGACAGCTAGCTTCGCAGATGTGGCAGGCAGCGCTGCACTCCAGTGCAGTCTAATTAATGGCTCCAGTGGGGTCTAGTGGCTCCAGCGGGGTCTTGTGGCTCCCGTGGGGCAGTGGTCTCTAGCGGTCGCAGAAGTGGAATGCCCGGCTTCGGCCTGCTGGTTGTTTGTGGCTTGCACAATTTGTCCGGTCCACGCCTGCCAGGCAGTCCTCATGCTGCGCCAGGGCCTCAGCTTGGCTGATCATACATAGCTTGGCGCATGCAATGTGAGCACATGCTTTCGCCATGACACCCCACAGCAGGGTCGCCTGCATGAGTTGGAGTTCAATCTGCTAGCAACGGGCAAGCCACATGTGCATCGCAGTCGCTCTCACAGCCCACCGAGGACGGCTACTCGCCATGCTTGGGGCCAAGTGTGAGTTGCACCCTGCGTTCCCTGTCACACTTGACCTCACATCCAATGCATGACAAAGCTTGTGGCCCATACCTGCTTAATGAGGACACAGTGCTGCTTTTATAACTCATGGTTTGCCTGACCCAGCGCGCTTGAACTGGTAAATGACTCTGGTGTGTTTCTCGTATATTTCTCATGCGCCTTTCATATGTTTCTCATGTGCTTGCATAGAAAAATCATCATACTCTTCCCGTGAGTCTCATATGGTCTCATGTGTACCCCATAGGTGTTTCTCACTTTCTCACATTGTCTGAAATATATAAGAAGCCAAGAGAGTTCAAAATTCAACCCAGACATAAGGATCCTTATGTTTGGGTTGGGTTTTGCACTCTTTTGGCTTCTCCTATCACGCATTTCTCACAACTGCACGTGTGCCAGATAGTATTTTAAGCTTACCGTGTCTTATCACATGCTTCTCATGCTTACTCATATGCTACATGATGGAAAACATCTAAGTGCGATAACATCTGAGAAGTACTTTTGAAAACAAATGCCATATGATAATCTGTGAGAAAATATCAGAAACGTATGATAGATCTGATCATGTGTGAGACTATATGAGAAGCACATATGAGACACTATGTGAATATATGAAAGTACAAACAACTTATGATAGTCTTAACATGTGTTAAGTGTGTGCGGGATAATCAGAGAGCATATGAGGATCTAAGGGCACATATTAGAAATGTGAGAGGCGCATAATGCGATAGCGATTAGAAAAGTGAGAGACCTATGGAACTATGTGACACTATGGGAACGTGGGATAACTACGTGTGAGAAACTATGAAAATATGAGAAGTATGAGAAACTATAGAAAATATGAGAAAATATGAGACATATGAGAACATATGATAAATTATGAGAAATAATGTAAAATATGAGACATAACAGAAAATATGAGAAATATGAGAAAATATGAGAAACTATAGTTCTCATCATACTTCACGCACTTCTCATATTTCTCACATTTTCTCACACTTATCACATTTCTCATATTTTCTCATATTTCCCATAGTCTACCACAGTTCTCATATTTCTCATATTTTCCAATGGACCCTTACATTGTCTCACAAGTTGTTCTCAGTTTCTCATAAGCACTTCTCATAATACATTCAGGTTTATCACGCATTATCATATCTTATCATATGGCACTCATACAGTCTCAAACCTTCTCATAAGTTTAACTTCCCATATTTTCTCACATGTTCTCATAGTTTCTCATATGTCTCATATTTCTCATATTTTGTCACGTGAGAGCTATGAGACACTATGAGAACATATGAGAACATATGAGAAAATATGAGAAATATGAGAAGCTGTGAGCATATGTGAGAACATATGAGAAATATCAGAAGCATGTCAGACACCTCTGTGCCACACTCTGTGCCACGTTGGAGAGCGATGCCTCCTCTCTGCGTCCACCTCATAGCTGTGAGTTTGGATGCCCAGGCAGAGGACTTGCTTGCAAAGCCCAGACCGCAGGACTGATGCGGGAAGTACTGGTCATATAGGTGTCTCAGAAAGGGGGGTGTCTCACAAAAGACGGGTGTCTTGAAAACTTTGGTATTAAAGACGGCTGCATTGTGAGACAGCTGTGCTGCGTGCCTGACTGTGGCCACTTCTAGTGGATCTAGTGGCTCCCCCCTGTCTAGTAATCTAGTCACTGCACTGAGCTGATGGCACGAGTGGCGCGGAAGCCATCGAGCTCCTCAGCATCTTCAGGCCGCTGCCCAAAGCCGACCAAGGCGACGCAAAAGCCCTCATCAAAGTCCTCAACATCTAGTGCAAAGACCGTTGGGGTTCTTTACACACGGACAAGCAGTGACGGAAAGAAGCTAGCAGGCTCGATCAAGCGTCAAACATCAGCGGCCAAACAGGCAGCGCAAAGGGACTCAACGCCCTTGAAAGTCAAGCTGTCAGAAGTGGTGAGTGGGAGCCTTCCCTATGACCAGCGTGCTGCCCTGAAGAGCCTAGTTGAGCGCACACACCCCATGCTCAAGGGCTGCGGTCAAGATATTTCTTGAGTCTGCCCGTGCCTTGGCGCGCTCGCAGATTGCTGCAGAGCAGGCCTGGCAGGCGAGCCGGAAGCACAATGTGGAAATTGTGTGCAGTGACATACCGGATTTGTTCACTCACAGCCCTACGCCGGCCCAGTCGTTCATCAGGAAGGTGCACTGCGCAGCTCAAGAGTTCAACAAAGACATGGTGGTGTATCACCTGTCCCAGGGCTTGGCTAACAAGGTAAAAACCACCAAGGAAATCACGCAGAAGGGCAGCCCCAAGGCGGGCAAGCTCCAAAACCATGTTTAGAAGAGGGAAGTAAAGTGGCAATAACACATTGTTGCGGTTGGATTGCCCTTCAGGTGAACGGCTGCAAAAGCGTGATTCAGAAGCTCAAGCCGTCCCAAGAAACTCAAGGTGCAGCGCGACAAGGGTGAGTTTGGATGGCGGCCTCTTGCCACGAAGGTGAGCAAAGTCCTGGGAGTGAAGGCGCACCTTGCACCTGAGACGGTTCGCCGGCTATGCGTCGAGATCAAAGTCAAGAAGCTTTGAGTGGATCCTGTATGTCAAGTAGTTCAGTAGTCTTGATTTGCTGCCCATGCAGTGCTAAGCTGCCACAGTGCAGCAGTCTCACTCCAAGCCACCGGCGACATGTTAAACGTCATGGCGCCGCAAGCCTCAGAGCAATGTGCTGAGATTGTGGCACTCAGAACTGCTGCACTGCACCAGCAACATAAAAGTGCGCACGGGCTGCCTGTAGATTTTTTCAATCCCCGCGCGGGGCCCTTTGTCCAAGCTGGAGCCACTGGACCCACTGTAGCCAAGGAACAATCACTACGAGGCAACTGATTCCGGAAGCAAGCCATGATTTTTGGGAAAAAACAGCGAGTCCAGCTGAAAGCTGCAGTGAGCTAGCTCTAGGAAGACTTGGCAGGCTTTTTCATCAACACCTTGCTGGGCTTCTTTTGCACTGGGGCAGCTGGACTTGGCTTGGGGCTTGGCTTCACCCTTGGCTTTGCCCTTGCCCTTGGCCTTTTGCGGATTGCCCTTGGCCTTTTCGGGATTGGATGCAGATTCAGGCTCTGGGCACTGCACGGAACGGGCAACTTGATCAGCTGCCTTTTGCTCCCGCTGTGTCAACTCTCCATATATGTCCTGCGAGGAGTGCTCCAAGAACGACAGGTCTGGCTTCGGAGCGATGGAGAAGGACATCATCATGGCGAGACTTTTCTCGAGCTTCTTGAAATTCAAGAGCCAATGCTGCGGGCTTGCCTCAAACAAGACGAGCCCTGGTGGTCAGCTATCTTTTTCACCATGGCTTTGTCACGTGCTTCGTTAGGGCCTTGCCCGCCCTCTGAGCCAAAGCAAAACTGAGTGGCCACTGTAGCCACTAGAGGCACTAGAGCCCCTACATCTTATACACTTCGTCCTTTTTGAGACGAATTGACTGGGATGCGTGAACAGCGGGAATGCCTTGCTTGAGGGCCTTACCACTCTCATCATACTTCACCCGCTGGATTGCCTGGAGATGGGTGAGCTTGCTATAGTCAACGTAGCTGGACAGTGCTTCCTTTGCAATCACTGCCTTTGGGTCCATATCTTTGCGGCTCACATCCAGCTGGTAGATGACATCATCTGTGGCAGCTACCTTGAACTTGCCCTCGACCTCGAAGACCTTGTCCTTGAAAATTGCACCGACCTGAAGACGCGCGCCGGCAAACCATTGCAAGGCAGCTTCAAGAGGCACTGGAAAGCTGGGAGGAGCACCGTTCGGACAGCGGGCGCCACCCACGTCCACAACCACCAAGGTGTCCTGGCTCATCTCGGAGGGAATGAAGGCGGAGCCAGGCTTGCCCTTCTCTGCCTTGGCGGTTGCTCCAGTTTTGTACGTGCCTTTGCACAGGAACAGTGCTGCACTGCTTTCCAAGCAGGAGTCCTTGAGGGCTTTGACGTAAAGAGAGCCATCGGGTGCCAAGATCAGCTGGAAGTCGTCCGTGGCAACTCCAGTGCTCAGCAGGCCATCTGGAGGCTGAGCTGGCTTGAGGTCCATTGCAGGCTTGGTCTGCTTCTGCAGCTCCTCGGTGCTGCACTCTGGGCCCCTCTTGTTGCTGGCAGGGCTGTAGGCCGCACCACTGGGGAACTTGTCGTTGTGGGCCTTTTGAAGGCTGGACCACTGGATCCCTTGACTGCTGGAGTCTGTGATGGAGATGCCATTGAGCTTCTCTGCCTGATCCACAGTGGTCATACTCAGGCTTTGTGTGCTGTGTGCCCGCCCCCTGGCCAACCTCCGGGATGACGACCCCCGTCTCCAAGAGCAGCGTCTTCTGTCGGAGCTTTTCCTTGTACATGTTAGAGAGGGATGTGGTGACATTCTCCAGGATGACATTCCTGAAGGGACAAGGCTCTAGGCACTTGGAGGTGGAAGGCCTCCCAGAAACATTTTTTGGACACCAAGCCCCTGCCTCACCAGTGCTTTCTCTTGGATCCACACTATTCCACAGTACCCGACTTGAGGAAGCCCGCGGTCACTGAGGCAGTTCAAGTCCACCACACTTGTTCCAGGCTGGTCGTCAAGAAGAAACATGTCGATGACCTGAACCCGGCTCTGCTTCCCCAAGCTGGAGCCCAAGGTGGCGCAAAAACTGTGAGTGGAGCTCAGAGCCGCTGAACCACTGCAGCTGCTCAATGGACAAGGCGTTGTTGGAGCCTCCAGCACCATGGAAGCTTAGCGGCACCTTCCAGTTGCGGAAGTCCTTCCGAGCCATGGCGTTGATGAAAACTGGAAAAGCGCCGCGCTTCAGAAGTGGGCTGTTGCCCAGCACGTGCTTGAAGGAGCTAGCTTTGTTGGGCACCCTGGTCGTGGATGACAGTGTGATCCATGCTTCCCAGGCAAGCTCCCGCTCTGGGCTGTAAAATGTCTCCGCACTCCAGGTCACCCTCACCTTGCGGATGAGGAGCTTGTGCTCAGGCTTTGAAAGTTGATCCAGCCACAGCTCCACATGCCTGGCTGTGCTCTCCACCCTTTCGTCTCCTGAGCTGTCCATCTTCCCGTAGCATGGCTGGCAAGGCGGGATCCTCGGCGCACACGGGTTTCATGGCAAGGCCCACTACTAGTTGAAGCATGTATGGCTGAAGCCTAGCACAACAGTGCAAGCAGGGGCACTATGTGAATAGCCATTTGCGGGTCAGCACTGCGTGAGAGGGCGATGGCCTTTGCAGCTTCTTCCGCCTTCTTGGAGGCTTCCCCACCTGCCTTTGGAATGTTCCACTCGAACACTTGAACCACTTGATGGACCTGGACAGCATCTGCCGCATCTGCCAGCATGTGCCGGTGGGCAGCGACGTGCGGCATGGCTGTGCTGAGGTCCTGCATGCCAAAACAGCTAGCTCAAGGACAGCAAGGCAGCAAGTTAAGTCATGACGTCAATTTCCCGGACAGCAGTGTCCTTGGCGGCTGTCGTGACACACCAGGCACTGCTGAGGCTCTGCCAGGCCTCCTCAAGGCGCTCCTGCTGCCTCGCCACCTGGACGTTCCAGTCGCATGTCGTCGGAGGCCTTTGCCTTCTGCAAGTACACCCACCAGGCGCGCTGCTCATGCTGGAGCTGCTTGACCAGGCGCTTGAGAGCTTCCTGAGAAGGGGGGTGAGTTCCCAAAAGTGGGGGTATTTGTTTGCCCCAGCACTGAAGCCAAGCTGTGGATCCCTGCTTGAGCCCTCCTGGTCCTGCTTTTCAGCAGTCCCCGCTGGATTGAGGAAGTCGCGGGGAGCTCGATCGTCTTGCAGGGCAAGGAAGGCGAGATCCCTCGGCTCAAATTCCTTGCGCTTCGCCATTATGGCGGGCATGCTCTTCGAGTCC